GCATCTTATGGATGTAAAACACATTTTTCTTCCACCAAACAATTGTCAAAACTTTAAAGAGGAACTGCAAAAATCCTGTTTTACCTTTGGCAATCCTCCTATTCCCAGGGCTAGGTCAAGCTTCAAGGAGCCTGTAGATATCACATGAGCACGGCGTACACCAAAAAATTTCTGCAGAGACAACATTGATTCCTTGCTAAAATCACTAGCAAGCTGTGATACAGCCATGCAAAGTGCATTGGCTCTCTCTTCTGCTTTGACATCATCACGAGTCACATCACATTCTAAATCTGAAGCTTCAGCTGAAATGCTTCAAATTTTATTATTAACACATCATTTAAGATAATTCTATTCTCAAAGATGAAACCATACTTCTATTCATACATATATACATACTCAAAAAGAAACAGATGCCCACAGAAAAAAGCAAACAAGAGTTAATGCCAAATAAACACACACAGGGACATTAGAGATAACATGGAACTAATACCTGTGGAAGAAAGCGAGCAGGTATTGATGCCAATTCTTGTCATCATTTGTCTACCTCCATTCTAGGTGGAAAAAAAAGGTATAACTTGTCACGAAAGGAGATGAAAATGGTTTAGACAGTGATCATTTGGGGGGGAAAGAAAAAGCATACGAACATATACACAGTCTAGAGAGACAGAAAGGAAAATGAAATGCCAAAACTCATTAACATTTTGAAAGAACCCCAAATAAAAAACTCACTAAGGACAAGTTTCGATAAACTTCAAGGAAATAAACTCCTCCCATAAGCTAAAAAGCTCATGTATAAATTAAAACACGACAGAACTTCCATAAATTAGTTCATGTATAATCTAATTATAGTTCATCAAAGATATTAACTAATGTATAAATTTAGTTCAAACTTATTTTATTTTTCTTTCTCACTTTCTTCTCCAGTTAAGTGCTTATACAAAAATTTATCCTATCAGAAACTGAACCGATAACAATTCTATGAATTAATAACATTAGAAGCACCCAGCTCGATGGAACTATCAAACCAAATACACAAATCCGTTGCATAGAGCATAACTACACTTCAAATTCCCCTTCTAATTGAACATGATAAGATACAAGAAAACTAAAAACTTTAATAGACGAGACTTGACCCTATCATATTCAATAAGCACACGTTTATGTTCAGTCCATGTGTAAGTTGTTGCAAAAAAATATGTGAGTGAGAGGTTTCGGAAAAGGAAAATAAAAACAACGATAATGAAAGTAAATAGAGAGAGAGGACCTGAGAGAAGGAGGAGAGGAGAGAAGATGAAAGTAAAGGGGTGGCGAAAACACGGAGACGAGGCAAAAGAGACATTTTGATGAGACAACGGAGGCGCGCGGTGCCACTCGCTGAGACAGCACAACATGAAACTAGCTGTTGCTCATGATGTTCTTCGATCCCAGCTTAGCTATGAAAGAAAAAAACAACGCAAGGGTTTTTGGCGCTCAAGTTAGCTAAAATTAAGAGATATAGAATAAAACAACTAAAACTTCATCTATTTTCTTTTTCCAATACATTTTCATCTGAAATTTTATACAGAAATATAGAAAAATAAAATAATAAACAAAATATATATATAAAAAAATTCTTAGATAAAACTTATATGAATTTCTGGTTTTTTCCTTTCGTCAGAATTGGAACATGTTACATTACAACGTAACATAGTGTTTCAACAGGAAAAAAAAATAGTGAGATGAAACTAATTTTACTGTGATAAACTAAGACAATTATTTGGTTACTTTCAATTTTAGACTAATATTCTTAAAACGAGTATAAAAAAAATTAAAAACAAGTGACTTGTTTATTGGAATTATAATTTTATATTTGAATAAACGGCGTAAACATTATAATTAAACTTGCCACTTTTATTATGTTTATTTATACCAACTAAGTGTTTAAGCTAAAAAAAATTAAAAATATGTAATTATAAATTTTGTCATTCAATTTTCTATTTTTAATTTCTCAATATTAAAATACGAAAACATAAAAAAAAATAGTCACGTATTGTCATTTAAACTATCATATAAGAGGTATTATATAAAGAGTAATTCTTATTTGGTCTACATATTTCTTTTTTCAATTTTATTCTTAAATATTTGTTTTAAGTATTTTTTTTAATTTAACTGTTTTAATTTTATTTGACTTTTTTTTAAATTTAATTGTTTATTAATAACTGTTTATTAATATTTAATTGTTTATTCAGAATAACTGTTTATTAATATTTTACTTCCAATATGTTTCGGTAAACCAAAAAGTTATTTTGGTATCTAAATTTATAGAGCCAAAGGCTCATGGGTAGGTGGCGGATCGTTGACTGGTCTATTTTTCACTCTCTTTTCCATAAAATCTTGTTTGTGTTCTGCACCGAACCAACTCGAAGGCAGTGATGAATGCAAACATGGCCGCGGCTACCACGATTTCTCAGCTCGGATGCTTCTCCGCCGTCCACCGTAGCATACACCTCCGCAGCCGCTCGCTTCTATTTCCTTCTCCTCGCTCCAAGGTCTTTCTCCTCTTTCTCATTTCCAAATAGTTTATTGCCACCGTCACTGTAACTTGGTAGGGTTCGTGGTAAGAAAAATTGCATGCATCAGGCTCGCGAATGTACTAGGTATTGTGTAGATCTAAAGCGCCGCTTGCTAAATCACACGTTACCAAGGGAAGTTTGAAGTAGCTGTCGTTGCAAAAAATTAAAGGAACTCTAACGTCGACGACTTAGAGTCCAGAGTGACGTTGTCTTAGAATCGCAATTTTAGGTTCTTATTATGGATTGACTAACTTTTAATGCGTGTTTGAACTAATTGGTTTCTCTTAGGGAAAAAAATGTTATCGTGTTTTGTTTGCGGCTTCTCGGTGGTTGTTTTAATGATTACTTCTTAACCAGTCTTTTTCTAACATGATTTAGTGTTGAATATGGTGCTTTCTGTTCATACATTTGGTTTTCTGATTTTGTTGGTTTCAGTCACAGGAATTTTTTAATTTGTATTACTTACAAACTAGATTACTAGAAGAAGAGAAGAAGCATTAACATAAATCCATTATATTTTGGAATTCGGTAGAAAAAAGAAAGCAGTATGTTGTTATCATAAGCAATATATTTTTAATCACCGTAAATTTTGGAAATTTTGTGACGAGTTTCTTTCACATTATGTGGTTTTTATTATTTTTTTAATATGGATGTATGACAGTTATAACTCTGTGTATCCCATTCCATCATATCTATCATTCGCGTTCCTCTTGTGACTTGTTTCCTTTTGGGGTATCACTCAGCCCTTCTATGCCTTGCTTCCCTTCTACTATTGACTTTGTTGCTGCAATGCACACATAATCTACATCTTTCAGATTTGGCGCCCATTACTACATATATATGCTTGTATTGGTTTATGTAATTGTAGTGAGAATACCCAAATTAAAAGGCACATAGCAGAGTACTGGGAGTCAATATGATCAAGTATTCAAGTTGGCCTTGTTGATGATTTGATAGATTGGCACGTTTCTCCTTATTTAGGGAAAGTCATATTAAGTCTATGTGCTTGCGCATATCTTTACTTTGATATTGCAACCGTAGTGCTAGACAATATGGACAGGCTTAAATAACTGCATAAATAATATTTTTGTTAAATAAAAGTTTTCTAGAGCAATTATTTGACATTGATACTGAACTAGAAGCATATCTCATTTAGTTATCAGTTGTTATGAGTCTGGAGAGGCATGACACAGATACTGCTGGGACTGATACCAAAAATACACTGAGTTATGCAGCTGATGTGTCAAAGCTACATGTTGAAGAAAAGCAGAACTCGTATTCAACAGAAGACGACCATGATACTGAAAAAACAGGGGTTGGACAGGAAATACAAGGAAGTGTTGATCAACCGAAAAAGACTGCTAAAATCCATGACTTCTGTTTAGGCATTCCCTTTGGTAAGTGTTTCCTTGTGTAGATTATTTGCACTTTAGATAAGTTATATGATGCATTTCCCATACTCTGCTTGTTTGGAGGGAAATGGAGGGGTAGAGATTATTAGTTTTTTTTTTTTTTTTTTNTCAAAACTTTAAAGAGGAACTGCAAAAATCCTGTTTTACCTTTGGCAATCCTCCTATTCCCAGGGCTAGGTCAAGCTTCAAGGAGCCTGTAGATATCACATGAGCACGGCGTACACCAAAAAATTTCTGCAGAGACAACATTGATTCCTTGCTAAACTCACTAGCAAGCTGTGATACAGCCATGCAAAGTGCATTGGCTCTCTCTTCTGCTTTGACATCATCACGAGTCACATCACATTCTAAATCTGAAGCTTCAGCTGAAATGCTTCAAATTTTATTATTAACACATCATTTAAGATAATTCTATTCTCAAAGATGAAACCATACTTCTATTCATACATATATACATACTCAAAAAGAAACAGATGCCCACAGAAAAAAGCAAACAAGAGTTAATGCCAAATAAACACACACAGGGACATTAGAGATAACATGGAACTAATACCTGTGGAAGAAAGCGAGCAGGTATTGATGCCAATTCTTGTCATCATTTGTCTACCTCCATTCTAGGTGGAAAAAAAAGGTATAACTTGTCACGAAAGGAGATGAAAATGGTTTAGACAGTGATCATTTGGGGGGGAAAGAAAAAGCATACGAACATATACACAGTCTAGAGAGACAGAAAGGAAAATGAAATGCCAAAACTCATTAACATTTTGAAAGAACCCCAAATAAAAAACTCACTAAGGACAAGTTTCGATAAACTTCAAGGAAATAAACTCCTCCCATAAGCTAAAAAGCTCATGTATAAATTAAAACACGACAGAACTTCCATAAATTAGTTCATGTATAATCTAATTATAGTTCATCAAAGATATTAACTAATGTATAAATTTAGTTCAAACTTATTTTATTTTTCTTTCTCACTTTCTTCTCCAGTTAAGTGCTTATACAAAAATTTATCCTATCAGAAACTGAACCGATAACAATTCTATGAATTAATAACATTAGAAGCACCCAGCTCGATGGAACTATCAAACCAAATCCACAAATCCGTTGCATAGAGCATAACTACACTTCAAATTCCCCTTCTAATTGAACATGGTAAGTTACAAGAAAACTAAAAACTTTAATAGACGAGACTTGTCCCTATCATATTCAATAAGCACACGTTTATGTTCAGTCCATGTGTAAGTTGTTGCAACAAAATATGTGAGTGAGAGGTTTCGGAAAAGGAAAATAAAAACAACGATAATGAAAGTATATAGAGAGAGAGGACCTGAGAGAAGGAGGAGAGGAGAGAAGATGAAAGTAAAGGGGTGGCGAAAACACGGAGACGAGGCAAAAGAGACATTTTGATGAGACAACGGAGGCGCGCGGTGCCACTCGCTGAGACAGCACAACATGAAACTAGCTGTTGCTCATGATGTTCTTCGATCCCAGCTTAGCTATGAAAGAAAAAAACAACGCAAGGGTTTTTGGCGCTCAAGTTAGCTAAAATTAAGAGATATAGAATAAAACAACTAAAACTTCATCTATTTTCTTTTTCCAATACATTTTCATCTGAAATTTTATACAGAAATATAGAAAAATAAAATAATAAACAAAATATATATATAAAAAAATTCTTAGATAAAACTTATATGAATTTCTGGTTTTTTCCTTTCGTCAGAATTGGAACATGTTACATTACAACGTAACATAGTGTTTCAACAGGAAAAAAAAATAGTGAGATGAAACTAATTTTACTGTGATAAACTAAGACAATTATTTGGTTACTTTCAATTTTAGACTAATATTCTTAAAACGAGTATAAAAAAAATTAAAAACAAGTGACTTGTTTATTGGAATTATAATTTTATATTTGAATAAACGGCGTAAACATTATAATTAAACTTGCCACTTTTATTATGTTTATTTATACCAACTAAGTGTTTAAGCTAAAAAAAATTAAAAATATGTAATTATAAATTTTGTCATTCAATTTTCTATTTTTAATTTCTCAATATTAAAATACGAAAACATAAAAAAAAATAGTCACGTATTGTCATTTAAACTATCATATAAGAGGTATTATATAAAGAGTAATTCTTATTTGGTCTACATATTTCTTTTTTCAATTTTATTCTTAAATATTTGTTTTAAGTATTTTTTTTAAATTAAAAAATTTAAATTTAATTAAAATTTTTTTAAATTTAATTGTTTATTAATAACTGTTTATTAATATTTAATTGTTTATTCAGAATAACTGTTTATTAATATTTTACTTCCAATATGTTTCGGTAAACCAAAAAGTTATTTTGGTATCTAAATTTATAGAGCCAAAGGCTCATGGGTAGGTGGCGGATCGTTGACTGGTCTATTTTTCACTCTCTTTTCCATAAAATCTTGTTTGTGTTCTGCACCGAACCAACTCGAAGGCAGTGATGAATGCAAACATGGCCGCGGCTACCACGATTTCTCAGCTCGGATGCTTCTCCGCCGTCCACCGTAGCATACACCTCCGCAGCCGCTCGCTTCTATTTCCTTCTCCTCGCTCCAAGGTCTTTCTCCTCTTTCTCATTTCCAAATAGTTTATTGCCACCGTCACTGTAACTTGGTAGGGTTCGTGGTAAGAAAAATTGCATGCATCAGGCTCGCGAATGTACTAGGTATTGTGTAGATCTAAAGCGCCGCTTGCTAAATCACACGTTACCAAGGGAAGTTTGAAGTAGCTGTCGTTGCAAAAAATTAAAGGAACTCTAACGTCGACGACTTAGAGTCCAGAGTGACGTTGTCTTAGAATCGCAATTTTAGGTTCTTATTATGGATTGACTAACTTTTAATGCATGTTTGAACTAATTGGTTTCTCTTAGGGAAAAAAATGTTATCGTGTTTTGTTTGCGGCTTCTCGGTGGTTGTTTTAATGATTACTTCTTAACCAGTCTTTTTCTAACATGATTTAGTGTTGAATATGGTGCTTTCTGTTCATACATTTGGTATTCTGATTTTGTTGGTTTCAGTCACAGGAATTTTTTAATTTGTATTACTTACAAACTAGATTACTAGAAGAAGAGAAGAAGCATTAACATAAATCCATTATATTTTGGAATTCGGTAGAAAAAAGAAAGCAGTATGTTGTTATCATAAGCAATATATTTTTAATCACCGTAAATTTTGGAAATTTTGTGACGAGTTTCTTTCACATTATGTGGTTTTTATTATTTTTTTAATATGGATGTATGACAGTTATAACTCTGTGTATCCCATTCCATCATATCTATCATTCGCGTTCCTCTTGTGACTTGTTTCCTTTTGGGGTATCACTCAGCCCTTCTATGCCTTGCTTCCCTTCTACTATTGACTTTGTTGCTGCAATGCACACATAATCTACATCTTTCAGATTTGGCGCCCATTACTACATATATATGCTTGTATTGGTTTATGTAATTGTAGTGAGAATACCCAAATTAAAAGGCACATAGCAGAGTACTGGGAGTCAATATGATCAAGTATTCAAGTTGGCCTTGTTGATGATTTGATAGATTGGCACGTTTCTCCTTATTTAGGGAAAGTCATATTAAGTCTATGTGCTTGCGCATATCTTTACTTTGATATTGCAACCGTAGTGCTAGACAATATGGACAGGCTTAAATAACTGCATAAATAATATTTTTGTTAAATAAAAGTTTTCTAGAGCAATTATTTGACATTGATACTGAACTAGAAGCATATCTCATTTAGTTATCAGTTGTTATGAGTCTGGAGAGGCATGACACAGATACTGCTGGGACTGATACCAAAAATACACTGAGTTATGCAGCTGATGTGTCAAAGCTACATGTTGAAGAAAAGCAGAACTCGTATTCAACAGAAGACGACCATGATACTGAAAAAACAGGGGTTGGACAGGAAATAAAAGGAAGTGTTGATCAACCGAAAAAGACTGCTAAAATCCATGACTTCTGTTTAGGCATTCCCTTTGGTAAGTGTTTCCTTGTGTAGATTATTTGCACTTTAGATAAGTTATATGATGCATTTCCCATACTCTGCTTGTTTGGAGGGAAATGGAGGGGTAGAGATTATTAGTTTTTTTTTTTTTTTTTTATTTTATCCTATTTGATTCAGAAACTTAGTGAAATGGGAGAGCTAAAATCCCTCTCTGCCTACCTTCAATATTGGGGAGGGGGATGTTTGGAGGAGAGGGAAGCTAAATTATAGTTTTTGGACTGTGTAGAATGAATTATCTCAATTTATTTACTTCTCATCTCCACCATTACTGTTT